TAAAGGCTACTGTGCATCCTTAAGGAATAATGAAATATAAAGATTTATTTTGACCACTGTACTTTATAAAGAAAATATAAGCCATAGAAATGGATCCTTTCTTGGAAGGTAGAAAAAGCTACATGCACAGAAGTGAGTTCAGGCTCAGAAGCAGATAGTGTTTAGTTCCAATTATACTTATTCTGAAATCTTTTTCATCCATTTGTACATCCACTTGGCAAGTTGTTTAAACTATTCAAATTAAAAGAAAACTCTTCAGTTGTGAACACTGCAGGCTATATGGAATAGCTGGGTCTAAAGACCAACCCTGGAATACAAAATGAGTAGGACCAATGCAGTAAAGGCTCATGAGTCCAGATTTCAGGAATTCAGTGCACAGAGATCATTAGCCCTGTTATGTCTTCTTAAGCAGACAGCTTTATTGCTACTTTTTCACTAATTAACAAGTTAACAGTGTTAGCTCTTTTTAAATATGTTGAGTACCCACTAGGAGGGATAATAACCAGATCTGGTTAACTTTAGTTTGTTTGCACTTAAACTGCACTGTATGTGTAGCATCACCAACGAGGTCAACATCTTACAAAACGTTAAAGATGATTCACCATCTTCCCAATAAAACATTTAATCTCAGAAAAGAGTATTTTGCCAAATACAAAATTTCCATGACTCTTATTTGGACTTCTTATGAAATTTACGTAACAAAGAAAGCCTTGAATTTTCAAAAGTGTTTTGCGTCCCCCGTTTCAAATTTATTTTGAGTACACAAACAAATGGAGTAATAGTTCCTGTTTGAAACACTCTCTGTATATGTGCTTTCATGGATTATATATATTATATCATATATATATATATCTTCTGTGGTTCAAACAGGAAAACAAAAAGTGAGGAGTATGAGGAAAGAGAACTGTTTCAATATTTTATGAATTCTCCATAAATAATAAATTTTTGAAAGGATTTTCTATGAAATATAATATTTGTTGTCTTCTTTAGAATGCAGACTATTTAATAATACAGGCTCATTGTTCTAATTTTTTACAGGTCAACTTTGATACTCTTGAGAAGAATATGGTCCATTTATTTGATTTCACATTGATCTATACCCAGAGCACTGATTTATGATTGTGTAGACATGACTTGGCCCAGGGCAAGAGCAGGATGTTAGCAGCATTTCTTCAGCCTACTTCTCTCCATTACACAGAAGAAAAGAGCTTTTAGTCCTCACAAATAAATCAATTGGAGCAATTTTCTTAATCATTTATAAGGTGGCTAGTTAGACTGTTTTTCGTTCCCTGTAGGTTGTGAGTTATCCCATTGTTTCCAGGAGATTATGACTAGGATCAATCATTAGATTGTTCAATCAGAGTAATTAAACCTCAATTCACTCACCTCAGAGAATACCCTCAAAGTAGTTATACGAGAGCATTTCAGTCCTTCACTTACTAAAAGTAAGGAAAGTGTTGAAGGATTTAGTATCACGGAATCCTAGAATGGTTTGGGATGGAAGGGACCTTAAAGATCATCTAATTCCAAACCCTCTGCCGTGTGTAGGGAACTCACCCACTAGAACAGGTTGCTCAGGGCCCATCCAACCCGTCCTTAAACACTTCCAGGGATGGGGCATCCACAGCGTCTCTAAGCAACCTCTTCCATCACCACCAACACTAGTGGCTGCTGCAGACTCTTGTATGTCGTATATTTCTATACTATCCCAACAAACAAACTGGACATGTATCTGCAGAGAAACATTAAAATGTTATAAATCCTATTCAGTCAGAACTTTTTAATGCTTCCTGACAGTGAAATCTGATGAAAAGAGTCTGAAGTATCCAGCTGGGTATCTGATATGATGACTAACTTATATGACAGTGCTCTGACTTAACCAGACCCATGCCCTTTGTTTTTATCTTTCCCAACTCCCACAGGCTACCAGCTAAAAGACCAAAGCATGAGATCACACATCCTTGATACTAGACTTGTTCCCCTCCCACTTTGTTGATGACAGCTGTGATCATTCACACTTTACAAGGGACTGGGAATGTCTCTTAAAACTCTCACTTTAGCCACAGATCCTAAGGAACTAAGCTTCTGAAAGCAATTAAAAGTAGACATGAGTCCACTAAGTGAGTGACCAACATAAACAGAGTCACCCTGGCTGAACATAAAATGTCCTGTTCTGTTCCCAACAGTGGGAACATTCCTGGGCCTCAGATGATGACTGCAGCAATAAATATTCCAGAAGAAATTCAGCCTCATTAAAATCAGTGAATTAAATATGTGTCGAGGGTTAAGTCAATAGAGTAATACAGGGATGTGTTTGGCTGGTATCTAGCAAGATGGCTGAATCTTTTTTTTTTCTTCCCAAAATGGCACCCTACAGTCATAAATTCAGCTACACTTTCAGAATTCATATTATGCTACAGCCCAGTCTCTAATCATTCATGTGACAGTCTCCTTTGCAAAATAGGCCTGAGAGCAAACTAGAGGTTTTATAGTTATGCTTAGGAGTTTTCAGAAGCTGCATTCTTCACTGCAACAACCTAATATTTTATTATCTGCGATAACAATACACATCCTGCTTTCATTTCCCTTCTGGTTACTGGATTTAATCTTCACCTAAGGGAAATGAGAACAAATGAACTTGCCCTCAAATTTATCCCTCAAATTTATTTTATCACTTGAATGCAGTAGATTTTAGTAAATTGTTTGGATCCACATCTCCAGACGCCTCCAAAATGTTTCTTTCCCCATACAGTCAGACTAGGTTCTGCTCCTTCAAATCAGTGTTGTTGCCTCATATTTGGGTGTGTGGGATTCTTTCTTCCCTAAAACTAAGTGAAGGAAGACCTCTCTATATTATAACATCTGTTAATTGAATACAACAAGCAATTCAGAGATTACAGCTTTCTGTTTTTGCCTCTTTATGTTTTTGAATCTCTCCATATAGGATGAAAAAAAATGGCTACAGTATGCTAGAAGAAAAAAAAAAACTAACCTACGTCTGCTTAATAATTTACTCTCTGACTGGAAAATAGTTCATCCAGCTTTTTCAGCCTAAGTTCAGACCCTGAGCATGACTGCTATTATCTGGAAGCTGTCCTCATAACAGTCCTTTTTCTCATACCTACATGTGGCTACCACTCCAGAAGAGTGGAAGCTAGGAAGAAGGGAAGAGTCAACCACTAGGTTTGTGTTTAAAGATATATTAAGTGTAATATGAGAACTTTGGTGAAAACCAAATTCAATAATTTGTTATTGAAAAGCAATCACATGCTATGTTCACGGAAAGCCCTGGACTGACAGCCCTGGACAAAAAAATACAAGTCTTTACTCACAGAAAGGCAACATATTTGGCAGAAGGATTCTTTATAGCATCTCAGCAATGACATAGAAATTTGTGAAAACATAATCTCCAAATCCACTCGATCACTAACCTTTCCACAGAGCTCCCCTACAAGGGTCTTAGGCAAGAGCTTTGGTGACATGGACACTTGAGAAGTGAAATTTTGGTGAATCTTGGAACAAACTTGTTCTCTCACCTGGTTCAACTCACAGTTATCTTCTTTATCCCATGGCCCTCATGAATTTTTTACTGTCTTGCTGCTTGTGTTATTGAGAATGAAATAAAGATACAAAATCTCTTGAGTATTCTGCTTCGCTTCTGCAGTGAAACAGCTTCAGTATCATCACAAAAACAGCTAAATATACTGTCATAATTTGGTCTTACTGGTTAGGTCACTAAAATCCTAATGGAACCTTTATTCAATGTAAATAAGTATTTTTATACTTAATGTCTGAAAAAGAACTAACTTGCATGCTTATAGGGTTTTGTGCCTTGTTTCATTAACAGTTGAGAGATTCTGGGAATTTTCATCTAAGTGTCTCACAAGAGTAAACCAAATGACTAGAATGATAAAGTTTCTTTGGTCATAAAATTGTATTTATTACAGGAAAGTGTGTTGAGGAAAGGCTCTAAAATGCATTTTTTATAGAATTCAACTGTGCTCTGACTTTCTTTACTATTTTTTTCATTACTTTTTGAAAAATGCACATAACCACTTCTTGAGATTTTTGTCTTTTATGAAATCATTAATAGAAACTGTTAGTTTCAAGGTTGCAAATATACTGCAAATGTCAGGTCATAAATCATGGAAAAGATACTCCTGGAAGCAATGGTAATGCACATGCAGAACAAGAAGATGATCTGAGACAGCCAGCATGACTTTCCCAAGAACAAATTGTGCCTGACCAGTCTGGTGGCCTTCTATGATGGAGTGACTGCACCAGTTGACAAGGGAAGACCGACCAATGACATCTACCTAGACTTCTGTAAAACCTGTGATACGGTTCCACATGACATCCTGATCTCTAAATTGGAGAGAGATGGATTTGAAGGGTGGACCATTCAGTGGATAAGGACTGGCTTGAAGGTCACGCCCAGAGAGTGGTGGTCAATGGCTCTCTGTCCAGTTGGAGGCTGGTGACTAGCGTCCCTCAGGGGTCTGTCCTGGGACCACCAGGGTAGTGAGGCACTGGCACAGGTTGCCCAGAGAGGTTGTGGATGCCTCATCCCTGGAGGTGTTCAAGACCAGGTTGGATGAGGTCCTAGGCAACCTGATCAAGTGGGTGGCAACCCTCATGGCAGGGGGGTTGGAGTTAGATGATCTTTAAGGTCTCTTCCAACCCAAGCAATTCTATGATTCTATGATAAATCCTGGCATATTTGGTCAGGAGGCAAACAAACTGGTAACTGTTAATGTCGTCTGTTTTTAGAAAAAAGCAGGACAAATTTCACAAAGAGTCAGAAGACATCACAGATATGATCTTACCTTTGGGGGAAAAAATATTATTTTGGAAAACTCCTAGCTAAGAAAATTAAAATATGTAGGGACATTTTATTCAGGATGCTTCAGAAGGGCTTCTGCATAATGGATATTATTGCTAGCTATAAAAACAAATCATAAAGCTGCTTCTTTTCCTTCATCTCTCCTTATTACCTTCAGTGCAATCTACACTGCAATGTGCAGCTGGCTCAGGAGAAATGAGTTTTGGCGCTGGAAGCAACCAAACAAGCTGAGATCCCAGTGCAGGCTTATTTCTTGGAGCAGTGTAAGCATATAAAAGCCTTGTTAAAAATAATTTGGTTTTGAAGCATTTAAGCCTTTACTGTTAGAACATCATGAGCAAGGATTTGTTCACAAAAATATTGTTTTATTTCACCAAGTTATGTCTTTTCACAGAGATAGGAAGCTTGGTGGTCTTTAAGAATTAGGCTTTTCTGAGCTGTGCCCTTAAAATTTATATATATATATATATATATATATATATATATATATATATGCATATTCTTTTATTTAATTGAAGTTCATAATTTTTCATGTATATACATAGCAGTCATTCAGTGCTAGGAATGTTTACTCATGTAACAGCTTCAGGAGTAAACATGGATATTAACTTCGTAACTTTTCTTCGTTACAGGCACAACCTCACAGAAGAAAGCTTCTGATAGAAAGAAAAAAATATTATCATCTGCCAGGGCTATTTATGTAAAATTGTAAAGAAGCAAGTTTAAAAATAGTTATGGAGAGAATAAAGGTATTTGACCTATTTGAAACAGACTTTAACCTTCTCTAAGCCCCTGAGAAAACTGAAGAGAAACCTCAGAAAAGTGGGTTAAGCAAAAAAGACATTCTGAGAAATTCCTACCACAAAGGCAAAAGATTAATTTCATCTCTAATGCATATGTGCTATTAATTCACCTCAAATTGTTAATAAGGTGAGTTAGCGAAGTGTTCTACCAATAAGCAGGTCACAACAACAAATTTCAAATGTGGAAAAGCCCCCCAAAAAGAAATTTCTCTCTTCCCATGATGATATGGAAAATGGGTTATAAAAGCGTCTAAAGGTGTCCTTTGCTTCCTCCCGAATTTTACCTCATTATCACAGCCTCAGATCTCTGCTCAGCCTAACTCCAGGCATAAGATAGGTAAGAAAATAACCTCACATAGAAATCTGGAGGAAATATGCTGCATGGATAGAATACAGTATTTGTAATATATTTCTGAAAAGGCAACATAAGATTGGACAGAAATTTTATTTATGTTTTTCCTGTAACAAGTTGAAATACTATTTTTTGGAAGGTAATGGAGTCTCTGGTTAAACACCACCTCTAATGGTTTTAAATTATGATTTTCTTTAAAAGGAGGTAGTATAATATTGGAAATAAGAACAACAACAAGAAAAAGTATTTAGTATAGGCTTTAAATCTGTGGCAAACTTAGGATGCCTCACTTTGGGTGCAACCGACTTGAATATTATTTTAATTTTCCAGATTACTACAGTGACTTAATTATCATAGTAATTACTTATTTTTGCAATTTATTAATAATTAAATTATCCATGCAAAGCATGGGAGGCCTAGTATGCTCATTTGTAAAATATTTTTTTTTACCTTACAATCTGTTTCAATTCTTTACAGTAGACCATGTCATAAAATATGGACCATTTTTAGTGGAGGAATGCTCTTTGAAAGCCCTCCCCACCAGGCAATGCAGAAAAAAATTAGAAACTAGGGTTCATAGTATCTATTGTCCATCCACTACTTTTCTAATTTCTTCCTTTTTTCCCCTCTATTTTATATGAAGACAATACAGTCAAGACTAGTGAGTTAGGACACTTTTGGCTGTCTTTAATTGCAATTTCCTTACACATCTGTCAAGGAATCTTATGTGAGAAAAATAGAGGAATTCATTGCACCTGGCAAAGGCTTTCCAGCATCATTTAGAAGATATAATTGTACGTGACTTGTCCTGTGCATTAGGGATCTTCAGCCCTGTAGGTAGTCTTCCTAGAATAAATGCTGTCGGATTAGGTAGTCTATCCAATATGCAGTTTGGCTGAAAAAAAAATAAAAAATAAAAAAGATTTTCTGCTTTATACTCTGTGTAGAAAATGAACTGGTTTTGCTTGTTGTATTGCATTTCTTCCATGTGAGCACTGAAATAAAGCTAGTTTTTCTTTTTGAAGCATTTATTGTTACCTCTGACATAATGGGCTAAGGGGCAAGTGAAGTTAAAGCATCTGAGCTAAGCAAAGGTGACATTAACCAGTTTTAGTGAGAACAGCTTGTCAGACAGTATTAAGTTCTGCTTGGGTCCATCCGGGTTTCCAGCATGTTAATAAACATTGCCACTAAAAGAAGGGAGCAAAATTTACTAGAAGACAATATTCATTTTATTATTATTATATTTTTTTTTGGCAGAGAACACTACAGTAAGTCAAAGATTTATTACTTGTGCAGTCCAGCTATTTATTTTGCATGAAAGACAGTGGAAAACACTGGTCTTAGCAAGAAAAATTTCCCCCTCAAATTCTTCATTTTTTTATTCTTTTTTTTTCCAAGAAATTTAAACAGTAAATATGACAAAGTGGTTGGAAAACTAAATTAGCTTTGCTGCCAGGATGCCTAAATCTCAGATTACCTGTAAAAACTGTTCATGACAACACATTGTGCTTTTTAAACTCCCTGAACACATCACTTTCTGAAATATCTCTCTGTTCCCAAGATGGAGTTATCTGACGCACTCTTCCTAATGTGTTTGAACAGTTAAACTAGCCTAAAGCACCAGAACTTAAATGCATTATAAATGAATCACTATGGATACACGGTGTCTTGATGATCCTGAGTATTTGCCTTTGTATTACATTTTGATATCTGTAGTATTTGCCGACCCAGCAGAAAAACAAGCTTCATAAAATTTGATTATTTTATTAGAGCAGTCAAATTAAAAAGTTAAGGGGATGTTGAAATATAAGACAAATTGAAATAATAAAATTTGCCATCTGTTGGCTCTAACAGGTGATATCTTCACAAAACTCTGAAGCAAAAGAAGAGGGATTGACAGGTTGAATCCTGCAGCCTGTACCCAGGGCCAAATCTTCTGCCTTTGGTACAGAGGTCTTTTTCAGTTTCATTGCAAACACATCTGTCCCCCATGCATGAATGATTGAGGAAGACAGGAATGGGCCATGCAATCTTCCAGCTATCTTGCCTGCTGTGTGCTGACACTACTGCCAAATGCCATCTGTCACATAAGCAATGTGTGGAGTTGATTTCAATAAGAAAATGCGGTTAAAAGGCAATTTGATCTCCACTCTGACTTTGCGTTTTCTTATTTAGAACTTTCTCTGAGTTCAGCGAGAGGTCTGGCTGAATGCTAATGAGGCAAGGATTGCAGGACTTGGCCCAAGATATCATAAAAATCAGGTTGGAATACTTCATCTACAATTACGGTTGGCAAGGCAAAGCTAGTAGCTCCCTCTTCTTTCCTCCTAGAACCCCCTTGTTACTGTGGATCAATGCAGTATGCAGACCTCTGGTCATATAACAAAATAGCTCTCATTTACCTGGGTAGCTTATTTTTCCACAGAAATCAGGACTGCTTCATTTACTGCTTTGGAAATTAGTCCCTTAGAAGTCGAACCAACATCCACTAAAATTCATGGACTACCTCCAAGGGACTGCAGCAGATTTAGGTAAGAGATTTAAAGGTTTGTTCAGTCAACTGTATTCCCAGGGCCAGAAAGCAAATGGTGCTTACATCGTACAGTATCTGTAGAATGGACTGATGTTTTTACTGTATTTTTGGTGGACTCACACTCCTTTATGAAGGGGGAGTTTTGTTGTAAAGAAAGAACTACAGGCTGTGGATGGGTGAGCCTTTTTGCAAATTCCAAACCTACAGAGAGATCAGGGAATGCAAACTGATAAGTAGATTTTCTTCTCATCTAAAATCAAGCAGACATCATGAAAAGAAGCTTCAAATCCAGAATTTCTCATGTTATTCTTCAGATGATCCAAGAGTTACAGCTCCCAATATTTTCAGGCAGGATCTCTTACTGTCAGGATTTATATTTAGTTAGGAGTATGCAGTATGACAGGATAATGGTTGTTTCTCCTCTGTAACAGTTTGAATCTGACAAAAGTTGGTATTAAGTATGTAACGACTTCTTTAATGACCAGTCTTGTATTGCTCCTTATCTTTTCCTCAATCCCTTCCAGCCTATCTTCTGTTGAAACATCTGAAAACCCTCAGAGGTTATAACTCCATGTATACTTAAGCCTGTCAGCTACTTGTGCTGGTTTTTACCATTCAATTTGATCTATGATGTTTTTTAGTCCCTTGCATTTTTGGAACATTTATTCTCCAGAGTAAATGGGTGTGAAATCACAGATTAAGAGAATTTACTCATGATCTAAAATGAGGATCTCATGAAATGCAGCCACTCCTTTTGGGGTGCGCTCTTGGCAGGTATTCCAGGGTGAGGAGCACAAATGCAGAACTAGCAAGAAATGAGCTCCAATGCTCATGTTTTTTTCTGACCCTCTGGCTGTAGAAAGAAAATCTTCGCTTCCACAGTAATGGTCTGTGATCGTATTTTGTTCAGACTTAGCACCCTTCCTGTGTAAAACAGCCTTTCTTGGGCTCCCCAGGAGAAACAAGGACTGACTGAGCAAGTGAAACACAATAAAGAGGACAATACATGACTTCTGAGATGAAGCAGAAAAAAGGATGGGAGAGAGGGAATATAATTATTGCAATTTCTTAAATAGCTAATTGAGCCCCATGAAGAATTCAACTATTTATCTGTGCCTGTTTTCAGTATATCCCTTGGTGGTATCTTTGATCCTCTGGGACAGGAGGGAGATGAGACTCAGTAGTATTTATTTTATATAGGATCTATATACTGTTATTCTGGTTACTGAAACCTGTTCCACTCTGCTGGATCTTTTCCAAATCGCCCACACTTTCATGTATATGATGCCTTCTCATCTTGCCCTGCACAGCAAACCCTTTGCTGCCTTTCTTGCTTTGTCATCAGCTCTGCTGACAGTGTATGACCAAGAAGTTCAGAGAAGCTATTGAAGTGTATATGAGGATTATGCTGGTTTACTGCTCAGTTGCCTCAAACTTGTTTTTAGTGGGACTTGTCCTTGTCCTTTATTATTTATTTATTTGATTTATTTATTGAAGAAACCAATTATATAATAAAGGATATTCATGTTTTCTTTAGCTTAATGGTTTCCTTCCCCCATTATATTTTCTGAGATTTCCACTCCATTAAAAAATAAGGCAGAAGCTAATGTCCTTCATAAAAGTCAACAGGAGATAGGGAGAGACTGTCCAATTAAGACATCCCTTAGAGAAATTAAAACTGTCAGGAGTACTTTGCAGCCAACTATGTTTGTGGAGAGTGACAGCTCCCCAGGTGATATGTGAGTGATCACGGTTGGACTCAGCTCTGAACAGTGCTCATGTTGCTGCTCTGTTGCAGGCTCAGGTGGCCTCTGGTTCTGCACCGGCCCTTCATATATCCCCATGGGAAGGGGAGGTTGTGCAAGTGCATGTCAAAACAGAAAGGGCATTTAAAGATTAAGTTTCCTGCTTATTAAATGCCATCAGATCAGCAGCACATTTGGGAGTGCTTTCCTGGGACACCTGCAGTGCTGCAAGTGCTCTAAATAGTTCTTTGGTGGATTTCACAGAAGTTAGACCTCTCACTGCTTTGGATAAAGTGTACAGGCAACTTCAGCTGATTCTACGTCTCCTGTTGTAGGAAAGCCATGTTCAGAAGAGGGTTCTAAATCCCTTTTCAGCAGAAGTGTTTTACATATGTTTCAGGTGAGAGGAATGTTAAGAGGATTGGTCTAAGAAGGGCAATGCAGTCAGAGACAGGGTCAGGAGGGTTGTGGAGCGCTGCTAATGACTATACGAGAGATACTGGTAACAGTCCGTGGGCTTCCCAGCACCTTAGCAAAGTCAAATTAAAAGGCTATAAGATATAATCACACAAAAGCAAACCTATTAAGGTTAAAGCAGTATGATGAAAGAAGCAATCAATTCAGGCACAAGAGGATTTAAATAACTTGTAGAGAAACCATTATTTGGTTTTAGTTATGTTTTGCACATAATCTAGCAATCATAAACTATTTTACATTCCTATGCGGTCTTCTCTGAAATTTTCTTATTTTTCTTTAAAGATGTTTTAAATTGTTACTTTCATTTTAAAACACCTTTTGTACAGGGAATAGCACCTTCATCTGCCAAAGGCTGATGTGTGCAAAGGACAAGTTTGCCTTTAGAGCATCCCATTCATGAGTAGGGCACGCAGGTATGGAGCCTTCAATGAAGTCTCACACAGCCCAGATCTATACTTGAAGAATGAATCAGCTTAGCTGGCCACAGAGGCCACCAGGAAAGGCTTGAAGAAAGTATAATCAGGAACAAAATTTTGTCCTGCCCTGGAAAAGTGCGGAGATGAATGGTCATATACTATTCACCTGAGATCCATATTCTACTTTGACTGGTTTTGGTGCCTGAATCTGTGCATTAACCTTCATCTCTTCCAAAATTCATCTTTGCTGTAGGAGTTCAGTCTTGTGCTATCAAAAATCCTAAAAGCTATTTGTTTTTCATTTAAAAAACAAATTTCAGTTGCATATGCATGCTGTAGTAACTAATACTAGTGAACATTATTAGCCCAAACAGGAAATTTATTGCAAGCTGAAATATTTTCTAGCAAAGAAATTACCTTTTCCAGGAAAAGGAAACTACCTAGTGATATATATAATCTTCTGTAAAATTCAAATAGTGGAAGTTTTAAAAGTTCACTAGATCATTGGATAACTGTTTACAGATGACCTTTAACTTTGATTTCTGATGGATAAGCAATAAATTATTTCCTTTGAGTTGTGATTTGTGTTCAACTCATTTGCAACCTGGAGAAGTTTACATTTCTTGATTGAAGTTACTTGTAACTAACAGTTTAAACAACTGTAATCATTGTAGTTTTCTAACAATGCTAATTGCATTCTAGATCACACTATTTTGCTGTGTTTAGCAAAGAGAGAACTGGTATCCTGCTTCTGTGCAAGCTGTTCAGTATGCACCGAATCATTAATGTGAAATACTGCACAGTTGGTTTGCAATTCATCTTAAAGATGAACTGTGGTGCCTTAATGGTCTTGAACTTTCAGTTTAAGAAAATAAATAATATAAATCCTTTGATGTAGGGCAGAAGGGAGGAACCAAAAGTGTCCATTCCTGGCAGCGAGGTTATATAAAAAAACACCTCTCTGCTCGAAAATGCCTTCCTTCTGCCTAGACATTACTTATTACCTGACATCATTTCTTGGAGTGGATTAATCTCCACTGCCCAAATGTTTTGCTCAACACAGAAGGTGTCAAAGAATTATCTGAGCATGTACATCCCTTCTAAAAAAGAGGTGATGGCTCTCTCACTGGAAGAGGTCGATGTAACTTAAAAATGCCACACAAAGTTCTCAAGCTAAAGTGATAGCATAATAATAACAGATCAAATCCAGTTTTTCTTTTATTTATTTATTTATTTATTTAAGTATGAAATTAACACTTCTATATAGCCAAGCTCTTGTTTGCCATGTGAGAGCCATATTTCACAGCAATGGCAATAAACTGGTTTGGAATTATTATTTTTTTTCTCCTTCTATTAGAACATTTTGAGCCAATGTATTAGAAAATCATGACTCATGACCAACACATTAGTGGGGAGTTGCAGTTAAATTTCTGCATGGGCCAAAAAACAAACAAAAACAAAACTGCATTTCACTATCTGCATAAAATATTTCTATATTTTGCTTCCTATTATTTGTGTCTGATTGCACCATTGATGATTGATCATTGATGATTACAAAAAAAATCTCACTGATTTCAATAAGATACAAAGTTAAATTGAAAGTAATCTGTTTAATGTTGCAAGTCTCAAGAAAAGTATTTTTCTGTCTTGATCTGAAGACAAAATACCAATATTTTCACATTCTTGGTGAAGTCTAACAGACTGTGACTGGGATATCAGCAAAACTTGCAGGGTCTCCTGGGAGACAGATTTGTAATGTGCTCCATAATATCAGAACAGGTTCAGTTAATTAAATGAATAGAATGGTAAGTTTAAAAGATGTGAAAATCTCTCTCTCTCTCCTTCTTTTTTTTTTTTTTTTTTCATATAGTTTAGTCTAGACTGTCAAATCCATTGCACAGTAATCAGGTCAAATACTATGGCTGGCTATTTAAAGAGTATGGAACGTAATCTGACAATTCACATTGCTGTGCAATGATAATCAGACACCGCCCTGATGGTCTTCAGGTTTCAAGAAAGACAATTTTACTCCTCTGAGCTTCTCGGTGCACTTTGTGAGTTTTGATTCAGTTATGAGGGCCAGTACAGAAGAGAGTCTCCAAGGTCAAAAGTATAGTAAAAAGTAGAGTAACATTACTATTCCTAATGACTTCCAATGGGAGCCAGACACCAAACCCCTAGTGTTGACCCTGAATTTCTCCCGTTATGTTTTGACTATGACTAAGTCACATGAAATTGAAACCCTTATGAGAAATCCCATGCTCTGCAGGAAAAAAAATATGTAAAGGAGAAAATGCAAAATTTAAGGAGTATAGGAACAGGAGCATGGGCTTCAGGACAGAGTTTTCAGCCAGTATAGCCTAAGTAGGGATGAATATACTCCTTGGAATGCAAAGATGCAGTTGTAGGACAGGGTACCTTCTAACACACAGCACGGAGGTCAATGGTTGAAGAGGACATCTGTGCCATTCCCAGCATCATTCCTATGCCCTATAGGATGCCTGTCAATCCCTTAGCATGCCATTCAGAGGGTGTTTTACTCACATGGTTTGGTCTGCACTCCTGGATAGGTGCTGTATTACTGGCATATTCCTATAAAACTGTTATTGTTCTATTTTTTTGTTTCCATCTGCAACATTACTCTGTTGGAAAGGTTTTGTTTGTTTTTAGTGTAAGGAAGTCAGTGTATGATGAGGGTGAAACACAAAATAGAGGTTGTTTTATGCTCCAAGCTGTATAACGGAAATCAGAGCACAAGTGGGGAAAAAGAAAAAATCTAGGAGGAAAATTATGTAGAATGAATCGAAAGATACCAGGAAACACTTGCAAATCCAGAAAGGAAGTAGCTACTTGGCACTTAGGCAACTAAAAAGAAAACTGAAATTGATGATAATGTCTGGATGTGGTTTTGCCTTTGATAAGGGGTTTTGTTATAGGAGGATCTTTATTACAGCTGGAGGGTTTTTACTATTAATAACCATATCACAAAGACAGGGGCCATTTGGGATTCCATACAAAACGTGTTTGACTACCCTATTCATAAAACCCTACAGTGATGCAGACTCCCTCTTAAGCCAGTTTGTACAAGTGCTTTTGTTCTCGTCTTTGAAAGTGTTTCCCATAGACTCACCATTGTCTCTATTACTGCAGGTGAAACCCAACATATCTTCGTGTAGGAAACATTAATATGGAAAGAAGATTGCTCCAATCCTTTTTGTGTGAAGAGGACAGAAGATAGTTTGGCTTTCATATACCAGGTTGAGTTTGCATCCTTTCAAGTACAAAATCATCTGTTTCATTTTTAAATGCAGTGAAGCCAATTTACCATCATTCAGTCACATGGAATTCATTATGTCATTTTAAAATATCTCCTTTCAGATTACAAGCATATCTGAAAAATGTGGCTGCTCTGTAACCAAACAATAAAAAAGCCCAAGCAAAAAAAGATCTGAAAAGCTATGTTTTGAGACTTGTAACATACAGGAATTTTATGGCCTGGAGTTCACTGCAGCAGGAAACTAGCTGGAAAAGACATTGCAATTGTGGAATTTTCTCTATTAAATTTTCAAATTGCTGTGACAAGACATGCAAGCTTAAAAAGGGAAGGTTATAGATCTCTCAAGCTGTCAGCGTAAAGAAATATTTATATGCACACCTCTTGAGTATTTGAATAAAATAGGAAACCATTCTGCAATGTTAAAGAAGTGCTGAGAATGTTCTCCTCTCTTTTTATTACCGGTATTTTCTGCTCCACCCACCTATTAAGTTTCTGTATCACTGTAGCATGCACAGCTCTTTCTTTCCACTCATTCAGCTGTAATCTATACAAACATCTAGATGATGGGATCTTTCAAAGGAGACCTCTTATTTTTGTAACAAGAAACCTGACCAGTCAATTCCTACAGGACTTAGACTAACTTCTTTCTCACGGTCAAATCCAAACCCTTCTGTGACGTACTGGAAAATGAGACTATTCATACAGCACCATGTCACCAACTGTTCACAGCAAATGAGACAGGCAGGCACCTCTCCTGCCAAATACTAACACCCTGTTTACTCTCCTCAGCTCTGCCTGGAGCTGGCACTTCTTATAACATCTTTCAGAGAATAAGGCCAGAAGGGATCATTGTGATTTAATAGGGTAAATATTTCATAAGTGAGAAAGTGATTTAGTTGCCTCTGCCAAGCTGAAAATCCTGATAGTAACTATGAGTAAGTTGGAGTATCAGGATAAAGTGCTGCATTTAGGTAGAGTTCAGATACTGCTTTTAGCATGTTCTTAGATGTTCATTAGTAAAGACAGAGGTAGATGCTGGCACAGACCTGGCACTTCTGGGTCTGAAGCTAGTTTGCAGGCTGGCATATGGCAGTGTACCAAGCCCTCAAGGTTGAGATTAGATCTCTACACTTTGTGCTGATTGCCTAGGGAATGAGACAATACAGCTTAGCAGAAGGGGGAGGAGAGGCTGGACTGCATTATGAGAAAAGAGAGAAAAACCCCAAACAGCCAGCCCTAACATGGAGCTAATTGCTGTGAGAGCTCCTGCCATAAAGTGACTGACAGCCTAAGTCAGCCTGTGTGGAGCGATGTCTAGTCCATGAGATGGGTCCATCCAGCACAGTGTTATACCTGAGAAGAAGCATGACTAGACATATTCATTGACCTTTACATACCATTCACTGTGCAAAGGCAGGACTTAGACCTACAGGTCCCCATACGTCAGTAGCAGGGACAAAAAGCCTCTTCCAGAAGCTTAAACTGCTGTGCAATGGAGGACCCAGGACTGTGCTGAGCATCAGGAAGCTGAACAGTATTTCATTCTCACTAACTGCAGAATAAACACCAGAGAAGACTGGGAACTGGCTTTGTGAATCTGGAGGCACAGCACTTGTTGAGAACTAACACTGTATTTCCATGACCTGGATGTGGCCTGGAGGAGGCTGTGGCTCAAGGACAGCCCCCGCAGGAGCAGGCCCCGGGCCAGAGCTGCAGCCCGTGGAGAGGGGCTGCACAGGAGAGGAGCCCACGCAGGAGCAGGGGGTCTGGGGGGAGCTGCCGCCCACCCGTGGGGGACCCGTGCTGGAGCAGTTTGCTCCTGGGGGATGGACCCCGTGGGACTGAGCCGTGTGGGAGCAGTTCCTGAAGAGCTGTTGCCTGCGGGCGGCCCCCGCAGGCTCACTTTAGGAAGGACGGCATCGCGTGTGAGGGACCCCATGGGGAGCAGGGGCAGAGAGGGACAATGACTAGCGGCAGAGACGAAGTCTCAGGGACTGACCGCAGCCCCCATTCATCGTTCCCTGAGCTCAGAGGGGAGGAAGTGGAAGAGGGTGTGGTGGGGGAAGGTGTTTTTAGTTTGCTGTTAGTTTCTCACTGCTGAGTGATCTCCCTGTCCTTATCTCAACCCTTGTGTCCTTTCCATTGCATTTTCTGCCCCTTTCTCCTTTGTGTAGGGGAATGAGAGATCTGTTATGGAGTTCAGCTGCCCAGCAGGGTGAAACCACCACATGTTAACATAAGGGAGAGACAAGACCCTTTCATTAGCAGGGCAGTGGATTGTCCCTTCTCTATTTGCTCAGACACTGAGGACGTAGACATTATGGACCACTGATTACATGCTGTAAAATCCAGTCAGTCTAAAACACAGGGCTGTAACATCTCCTTCTCTGCCTGTGTTCCCAATGAAAAGGGTCATTGTCTGTTACCCATAGCATGAATATTTGCCCAGACACACCCAATAATTTGGGGGGGGAACCACTCACTTTCTGCTGGTTACTGTTTTATACTGGTCACCTCATCCCCATATCTCATGAGGAACAGACCCCAGATGAAATCCTACCCTTATGACAGTGCAGTTTTGTCTCTCCAGGAGACAGCTTGACTCACCTGCCAAAAATAGAACCCTTGTTGGTAGAACTGACTGCCTTCAGTCATCACATCGCACAGAAAAAATGATGTCTAGCTAATGAAACCCAGGGGCTGACTGTGGATACTATTCACAAAATATTTTATTTAGAAATATGAAAAAGGACTTGTTCTATTTACTATTTTTTTATTTTTATTACAAAGATATTGATGTGTTTTGACTTTTTTTTTGTTGTCTCACTTATAAGACTGATATCTAAAATTTAAGCCGCTTTTTAAGCCACATATTTTAAATAAAACAAAAACAAAAACAAAACATAGCAATCAAAATTGAAATAAAATATTTGAAAACAGTCAAAACATCTAAAATTGTTTATTATTTTTGGTCATCTAAATTTTCAAAATTTTTAAGTTTGTTTCTGAATTATGATAGATTAATGTTTGCATTATTTTTCCTCTTCTTTCTTTGTAGTACAGAAGTAGCTCTTTTGACCAACACAGCTGGAAAACCTGTGGCTTCTTTTTAAACAGAAGCTAACTTCAGCAGGTCTGTAATTTCCAACTCAAGTTTCTTACGTGTTGTCTGCAATTTTCTTTTGACCACAATAGTGATCTTTACATCATTAGAGCAGTGGGAAGCCTGGAGAAGAGAAGGCTGTAGATACCTTATCCTTTTCTTTCCAGGTTTTCAGCCATTTAATGCTGCATTGCTTTCAGTCTGCCTTTCCTTCCCACTTTTACGTATAACAGTCCTGAACAATCAGAAGGGACTTGGGTATTAATCGTGTTCTTTAACTGTGATTAAGTCTGTTGGAAAAAAATACATATTCTGCAGTTCCTTGTGTTATTTGTTGGAAACTGCCCTGATCCCTGAATGGGATGACTGATTCCCATTCTGTATGCATTACCCCCAGTTTCATTTGAGTACTAACACATTACTCAGTCTACAGTAGTTATTTTGGAAAGGTGTGAGGCACATAGCCATTGTCATACTATGAGAATAACCTGAAAAAAGAGGCTTGTGTGCCTGAGAGCTTTTTTTGATTTATCTCCCAACTCTGTCACTTAGCCTCACAAAAGATATTACCTCTCTTCACAAATCATACTTTGCTCATTGGAGCACTACAGGGCATACTTAATTATTGTACGCACACTGGGGATGCTGGATTAAAAAGTCTACACACATTTGAAGCAGGATTAATGTCTTTGCATAACAGTGGAAACTGATGTAACCTCCATGCTACTAAGATGCAAATTTGCAATCGAAATAATGCCAATTTATTGCCAAAAAGTTTGAATGTCTGCTCAGTTAGAGGAAACATCCTGCTTTGTACATTTTTCTTCAAGGTTCTGAAGTCTTGTAGGAAAATCACACGATAATTGGCTTTTCAGACTCGTGTCCTAAAGAAATGAAACTTTATGTATTCCTGTAGTCTGTTGATTGGTCTCTCACCTTCTCCCTAACTTTTGAATCTGACAGACGATTTCAACCAAATTTCAGAGAAGGGTAAAGTTCAGAAAGATATTATGTTCCTAGGGCTGTGCAGAAATTGGGAGCTGAGTAGAATAGAAAGATTTAAATTAGTGCTTGCAGAGACAGAGGCAAATGACTCAGGCATTATCCATAGTGCCTGGCAGTAGTCCACTGAGGCAGGAGCAGGTAGACACAATCTGCATCCCTGTGACTGTATTTGCTACAGTCTGGTGCGGACCCCCAACTAATCTGCTGTGGAAATGGGAGGGGAGGTGGGATTATTGGACCGGGGTGGATTTAGGGGACAGAGGACACAGATCTTTAAGCAAATCAGTTTGTCTGTTGTGCTGCTCTGTTTCCAAAACAGATTTTTCTTTGTCTGTTTGAGATTTTTGTCTGTAGACAACCAATAAATTTTACTGGTTGTAATACGTAATATGAATAATGAAAATTCCATCCTTGGAATGGAAACTTTTCAAGACTGAACTGGGTAAGACACTGAGCAAGCTTATCTGATCCTATACCTGACCCTACTTTGAGCAGCAGTTGAGGCTAATCCTCCTGAGGTCCATTCCAATCTGATCCATCCTGTGACCCTACAAAGGCAGAAGTTTGCCTTGCTGTCTTGCCAAGAACAGAGTGGAGCTCTGGGAATAGATTTGATTAGCCTAGTTTTAAACATCTGTCAACTACCTTTCAAAAAGCCTTTAAGGTTTTTCAATACGAAAGAACGCATTGCTAATGCTTAATATTTACAGTGTGCTAATAACCTGAAAGGCTAGCCAAGGTCAGAGGCAAAACAAAGAATGGAGGTAATTTAGTGACTAAATCATTAACCTACAACACAGGAAATTAGAGTTTATTAGAGCCTTCTCATATGAGTTTATACAAGTAACAGTGGAAGGGATTCATCTCACGTAATTTTAGCCTTCCAGAAGTAAACTAGTTAATTTAATGTAGCTCGTTAGATTCCTTCATGGGTCAAGAGAGAATCAAAGAGCTCAAAGCCATTTGCTGCAGTATGTTCTGCTGGTGTGGACTCTTCCATTCCTTCTACAGAGAAAGGAGGAGAGATAATAGCATTCCTAGGTTTCAGAGGGGGTTATGCAGATAAATCCATCCTGAACTGCAAGATGCTCAGATTCTGTCTAAGTACCTTTGATAAATATAATAACTAAATCAACTAATCTGTTTGTTTGTTTGAGGAAGTGATGATGGTAAAAAAAAGTGTTGAGGGCAACAATGTGCACATGTATGTGACTGTAGTGCATATGCTAAAAGAAGAAAATAGTTTCTCGTAGTTTTATGTCTTGCTCAGTAAATAAAAAACCCAAACACACAATGGTAATGTGCCTTTAAAGATAAATTTTGTTGAAAGAGATTCTTTTCACTTTTGAAGTCTTTTCTTCCTCCTGGCAAACCCATTTAGCCTTGCTCCCCAGACAGCCAGAAATAAGCAACTGAATACAAGATAAACAGAAAGGTGATCCAGTTTGAGGAATTAAAAACAACCTCCCTCCTCTCCTCTCCAGAAAACACATACACACACAAAATAACCAGAATAAAACTGGTTTCTATTTACCAGTTTTCACTGTTGACTGCACCTTTGGGGAGAAGGTGAACATAATCAGAGAAGAAGTGTGGGGAATGAGGAAGATTAAATTAATCGTGTAAACTTCCTTGCTGGCTGGCTAGTATGAGTGTTGCAAGTGAGAGGTAAGAAATTCTGCTGCGAATTTGTAAAGCAGCACCCAGGTTTCATTAACTTTCTCCATGGAGCTCTGACAGCGTAGAAAGCCCAGCACCTACCAAACTTTGCCATGTTCTGAAGTAACTTGTTCTCTAACTACTTGCATCACTAGAAAGTCAGCTGCCAAAAAATAAGAGGGGCACTTTCATTTAATCCAAGTCCTGTTGTGAAAAGCACTGAGGTATTCTTTGAAGTGCTGAGGCTTAGCAATGGTAAACCTCAGCCTACTTCAACACATGCTAATCTTCTAACAGGCAGCACAGCACTTGATAGGCATGAGGAAGGATTTATTCACAGATTTCTCACCTAGTAGTTTGTAAGTGCACAAACATTTTGAAAAATATATGATGAAAGTGGTTCTCTCTTAAATCTTACATAGGAGGGGCAGAATTCTCTCTTAAAAAAAAAAAAAAAAAAAAAAGGAAACAAATGCATTATCCTATTTTCTTTCCATATAATTGGTAGTCAGGTGTTCTTACGGCAGCAGACCTCTCTCTGAGTACTCTGGGGGTTTCCTACATATAGTATAATGCTGGATTTAGGTCTCCCCATTTCATACGAGCTGTTTGCCATTTTCAGGGTCCTAAAGATTTTTATTTTATTTTATTTTATTTTATTTTATTTTACTTTATTTTATTTATTTTATTTTATTATTTTATTTTATTTTATTTTATTTTATTTTATTTTATTTTATTTTATTTTATTTTATTTTATTTTATTTTATTTATTTCATTTTAATTTTATTTTTACTTTTGAGAAGACAACTAAAGCAATCCTACCTTTTTGTCAATGTAATGTGATTGCTTATAAGAGCATCCTCAAAATTGTGCTTCCCTGAACACAGTAGAAACAGACCGTATGCAATTTCCTGACTCAGAAGTGCTGCAGATACACAGAGTAGGAAGCCAGATGATGAACCTGTGCCATGGTGAGAAATACTGTCATTCTGTCTGCACAGAGGAAAAGAGGAGAGAAAATTGGCAAAAGTATGGAAGATACTGTAAAGAAAAGTCCTAGATATGATTCAAGAGTAGAGAAGGAGGTTACATCTATTTCTGGAGACTATGTCTATTCTGGTTTTGTAGATAGGAACCAGGAAAGAATCCCAGACCCAAACAGTGCAGACTAGCTCATGTTCACACTGCATAGTCGATGTCTTCTCTTAGCCCCTGTGTGACCACTTTGGTCTCGAGGCATAGTTATCATGTGTCATTGTGCTTTTTTTCCACGTTGAAGAAGTTCACTGAAATAATGAATTGATGCTTTATATGATTTCACAGCCTGGCACTGAGGCCATATGTTGGAGCCAAAATTGCAGAACAAATTCATACTGCTCAGAGCATCCGCCAGAAAAAGTTGTCCCATTGGGTGTGCCTTGTTAAAAGCAGCCTGCTGCTAGGGACCTGGAGCTGGAGCAGCCTGCATGTGGTTTAGATGGTCTGCAAATATGGTTTGTCGATAGGTAAATAAATAACTTGTGATGTTTTGCTCAATGATTTTTTTGTGCACTGGAATTTAGATTCACCATACCAACACTATTGTGGGTGTTTAAGGTATTCTTCACTTTGGGAACCTTTGTGCAAATTACATAGTGAACATTTCCTAGATATCATTAACAACACAGGGAGCAAGATGAACTTGGGAAAATCACATTAATGAAGTCTATTTTGTCTTTATTAAATATAGCTAAGTTACACCAGAGTCTAAGAAGGTGATGAATTAAATAACCTGGTCAAATGAGAAAGACTTAAAATATCTTTCTTGAAGGCTTTTCTTCCCTAAAAATAAAGAACTCTTCAGGTAGTCAGAGATCAACATCATTCTCCTTCAAAACTGTTTCATTACTCTGATGACTGTGTAGACTGTGATGTGCTTAGACTCCTGGGAGTGCAGATACAGTTACAACAATTGCTCATAATTTTGATGAGCCATTAAAGGTAATGTGATGTTTTGTAATCTGTAAGTGGGAAATTAATGACACCCAAAAGCTGCTGCTACAACAGATGTTCAGATCCTGTGTTAAGTCTTTGTGCGTTCACATGCCTTGAGTTATATTTAATATTATTTAAGAGAGCCATTAAGAAGTGGTAGCATTGTTCAGAGATAGCATTATGTTTTTAAATATTTTAAAGGTTTTTTTTTTTAGATTTAAAATTTTACAAATGAAAATTTTGTTAGATAATGCATATATTTAAATCTACATTCATATACATACTTCTTTTTTATCTATAGTTATATATGTTCTCTATATACACACATATATATGAAGCATGTATTGATTTTCCACCCTAAATTCCCATAAATAATACAGTATTGGATACAGTGATGATAAGGTACAGCATCAGTTGGTAGTCAGGTTAGAATCTGTGAATATAATGTATTAATATCTGATTGTTAAATTAATGATTAGAATAAAATGTTCTTAAGAGGAAGGATTTCTGAGTTGTCTTGGTGCAATGTTAGCTAACTATAACTAGTTTGTTCTCACATGTTCCAGAGATGCAACATATGCCTCAGAGACTAATTATCACCACTGATTGAGTAATGATTTCTGGAGCTTCATGGCCATTCCTGTTTAAATGACACTGCAAGTTGATTACACTGCATAATGCTAAAGCAGGGAGGGGAAGTTATCCCAATAATCCCAGCCCTGAGATATACTGTGAAGGTGTATAAGAAAGGGTCACATAACCAATTAAGATTTTATAGTGTAAAAAAAAAAAAAAAGATCTTAGTATTAAATTAGTATTATCACATTTTGATTGAAAGAAATGAGTGGTTCAAGGGTATTATGGAAGTCTGTTAAATTATTGCAGAACATAACTGAGATAAAAGAGATGCAGCTGACCAAATCCAGACTTGCACATAAGAAGTGTGTTGTTCCTTCAGTCAATAAATATTTTTTACATAAAGTTCTTATGGAAAACAATACGTGTTTTTATGGCAAGGTGTCTTCCTTGGTGAAGAAACAGGTGAAGCTATAATTCGCTAGGACAAAGTAGAAAAATATGCCCAGCTATGCATGGCTCTAATGATATTTTTTAATAGATTTTTCTTTTCACAAAATGATTATAATTTCTATGTCTGTTTTGAAGATTGTAAAATTTGATCCCAGAAAAATTCACTAAAGAATTGTTCCACTGAGTCATTGTACAAGTTTTCTAATCCTAAAATAATCTAGTTTTGCGTGTGGGTGGGAGAGTCGGGAAACTTCTGTGGATTTGTAAATCCATAAAGTGCTTTCTGTAAGTAGGCAGCATCAATCACTGAGATGTCAGGCCAAAATTAGTTCCCTAAATTACCTTCCGAGTCAATGAGTAGGCACCCACATGTTTTGAGTCAACCACCTATAAGAGAGACTAAACTTTTACTCAGTCAAAATCAACTGACTCTAAGCTCAGAATCTCAGGTCTTGATATACAAGTATTTCAACATATTCCAATGGCTTTTACAGCAGTTTAAATAAAAACAAATTAAAGAAAAGGAAAATAAACTTTAGAAATAGCCTTGCTATTTCTAAATTTCTTCCTCTATCTGCTCTGAATGCAGATATTTAAGTCTAAAGTTCACTGATAAAAACTAGACTTTCCCCAAGAACTTCACTTTGAGTTGGGTGAAAATGACCACCTCATGAAGTTTTAATTATCAGTAGCTCTCATAAGTAGGTTGTGGGACTCCTATGATGTAGGCTTCTCGAGTATAGGATATAAATGCTTCCAGAGTCTATGACTTTATTCACTAGCAACAACACCCTTGAAAATTGTTCTCTCTCTCTGCATAAAACATTTCAAGGTTTCTGATTATTTTTTTTCCTACAATTAGAATAGAATTTATTTTTTATACTAATGGTGTGTTTGTAATAAAGAGCTAACATATTTTTGTGGGTAATCTTTTTGAAAAAGAAAAAAGTGAAGAAAAACAAAAGCACTGTCTTGGAGATATTGTTCTGCTTTGTATCATTTTGTTCTTAAAATAGAAAAAAAAAAAAAAAGACATGCTGTTTTTATTGATATATAAATGATATTTTGGTTTATTTCCCAATTTCAAAACTCAAATGATCCATTTAAGTTTAAAGGAGCATGTTTTATTGTTCTGTGGAAAAACTGTTGTTATATATTTGCACTGTTGAATTAGAGAAGTCCATGTAAGTTCTTATTCATTTTATTGGCAAAGTATATTAGTTTATAACAGATTTTTATAAAAAAATATATATATTTTCTTCCATAAAAGAAAAAAAACAATATATTTTAATTATCTGTATTTGTGTCTTTATTTCAATCAACATGATCATTTGAAATATGATAGCATATTATTTTTATCCTCAACAATTTCAGCTTCATGAAGTCCTTTGGCAACTTGGTAATAAACCATAAAAAATAGACTCGCAGAAGTATATAGGAGAACCAAAATATACTATTGCTAAGAGATGTATTAAGAGGGAGAAATATGCAAGTTTTTCAAAATTGTTTTTATGGTTCAAGTTAGATAATTGATTTTCTGAACAGCCTTTTTGCAGCTGAATTTTTCTCCTTCCTCCCTTCCTCCCTTTTTCCTTTCTCTCTTTTCTTTCTTTTCTTTCTTTCTTTCTTTCTTTCTTTTCTTTCTTCTACTTTCTTTTGCTTTTCTTTTAATATAAGCCTAGGTGAACTCTGCAAGAACAGCAAATATGGAAATCTGGTATGTGATATTGAAATGAACTTATCACTTAGTGCATGTAGGTCCTCAGTACATATGAAGCACACCAGAACAGAGTAGAAAGCATGGCAAGGAATTACTAGTTTACTTGGCTAAGCAGATCATTTTTTGGATCAGTTTTTGAAGTTTCTGTATATAGTTGGACTTCCATTCTCTGCTCTACTAGCATGCAATTCAGCCTTACCTGACATTTAGTATTTCTACTGCAGTTTACAAAATTTGGGGCTGAAGAACTGGGATTACAGCAGTGCACTCCCTTGGTGATGGATTAGTACAGAGATAGCCAGATATTCCTGGTGATAAGAATGTCTCTCTTCTTTCTTAAGCCTGACAGAATCATGGAGTGGTTTCACTACTCATGGAGTAGTTTCCCAAAAGCCGCCTACAAATACAGCTAATTGAAGTCAAAATCTAGACCCTATGTAGTCAATTGACAGGCATTCCCTTCCAAATATATTTGTTTGCAAATGCAATTAAAATAATTCAGTAATACTACACTGCAAGGAGTACTTGTGCTCTGCTCTACTGATGCATACTTATTAGACACAGTGCATACACTGTGTTTCCAACTGGTAATGAGGATACTCTTCAAGTAGTCATGACTTTTTAATAGACCTGTGAGATTGGGTTCATCTCACCTAATTTTGGTTCCCGAACGGTCTCAGTTGTGGTCTAGGCTCCTCTATTAAGAGTGATCTGACAGAAATTAACATGCAAGTAAGGATTCCAGCACAGTCACCTTGAAGCCAGCACAAAGGTAATTATTTCTATTTTGATCCCTATTCTGTAATATTTCCTGAGTGGGGAATCTGTCACAGCAGTAGGAATTAATTTCCTTCTACGTTAGCATTCTGAAAGCTTGAGAGCACCAAGTGATGGGATTCAGCTCTGAATGCAGATATTTAAATCTAAAGGGCAGATTCATTTGCCTAAACGTAACCATCCAGTAGCATGCTGGGTACATGTGGAACCCATTCAGACCTTGGCTGGTTATTTAGTCACCTAAACGGAATGTCTCCAACTATGGCCTCATAAGGACAGGACAGAGGAAATATCTATGCCTTTCTGGAGTGACAGATGGACAGAAAAGACATCCCAGTTGCCTAAGGTGTGACAACAAACAGTAATTAACCAGCAGTCTTATCAGCTGTGATCCAGATACATCTCCTGTAGCAACACACAGTGCAGTTATTTTCTTAAAAGTAAGGACCTGGTGCAGTGCCATTTTAGGATCTTCAGGACATTACACCTTATTTTCAGCTCTTCCAAATGACCTCTGAGACATCTTCATGAGGTTGGATCTGCCTGAATTAGTAGGTGGAAACCAGAGAGGATACCTGTCATGGAATGAGGTGCTTTAAATACTTGTGTTTAAACAGATGCATTCAGAGATCTCAAAGTGACATCCACCTGAGTCTAATTAGTAGTATATAGAAAAAAAAATGTAGTCTCTTTACACTCGGTGAAAAATACTAAAATCTCCAAAAATAAGATTAATCCCAGGACCAAGTTTAGAGAAAGAAGCTGAAGAAGGTGTTCTCTGGAGACCAGTTATTCTGAGATTGTCCTTTTTTTTTTTTTTTTTAAAACCCAGTGTGTAAGAAAGGGTTTGCAGAACCTTAAAATGAAGGAAGGAAGGAAGGAAGGAAGGAAGGAAGGAAGGAAGGAAGGAAGGAAATTGATGAATACATCATCATAGTTGATTAATTATATATCATGTCAGTACAATACACACCATCTGCCTATACATTTTATAAATGTTTCAGAAAATAATGAAAGATCAATAAAATATTTTTCATTACCTTGCTGCAAGTCTCTCTAGATAAATGAGTTTTTAAGAAGATTTAAAGATCTAATTCAACTTCCACTGAATTTTCCAAAGAGTGGGTTCTGGACCAAACCCTGAAAGGAAGAGTAAGGGTGGCAACCTTCCAAGAGCATAATAAATAAATAAATAAATAAATAGGTGTGAAAATGAATTTGGAACCAGGCAAACAATTTTTATAGGCACAGCAAAGGACAATGCTAGACGAGATGGTTACAAAAATAGGATATTAAGTAGTGATTTTACTTTCTATATTGATGTTTAAATATTTGGCTATATTATTACCTGAAGTAGATCCCCCTGCCAGATCAAGAGACAAGCGATTTTGAGATACTGTCTTTAGAAGGAGATACGGCTTGCTGGAAACATAAGGAAAGCAAATGGAGTGATTTTCGGTATGAGTGCTACAGTGCTTTGCAATCCAGCCTTTGCTAGGGAAGTCCTGAAGGCTGATATTATTTTTAATTATTATTTTATTTTTAATTAAGGGACCAAACATGAACAGGCTTGAAATCAGTAAAGTGAGAGACAGCTCTGTGTATTTAATTGCTGGCCCAGTAAGTCTGGCAGGGATGGTAATGCCGAACAGACCTAGCACAAGCATCTCACTAATGTAGGACTGCAAAACTGTCAGTAGTGTATCTGGAGTGTAGTCAGTGCTGGGATCAGGTTTTTACTTTCTGATCTGAGTTACCCAAATATATGACCTGAACTCCTAGATGCTGGAGCAGTGACTGTCATCCACGTGTTTCTTCAGGGTTCGAGGCATTTCAGCCCAGAACAGGTTACAAGAAAGGGTCCTATCCAGACATCATCTGTATTGATTTCACCTGGTGATCCTGCCTGCTTAGTCATGGAAATTGTACCACAAAGGCAGTGTGATGTGCTCCTCTCACAGCAGAAAGGACTGTGTGTTGTCACCAGTGCACTGACTTGCATGAATCTGAGGGGATCTCAAATAGAACAAAAATCTCCTTTGTGAGAGTACAAACACAATCAGTTTCTGTATCTGCAACAGGAGAAAGAGTGCTGGCTAAATCCCTCCCTCTAAATCCCTCCCATTAGTTTCTTCTTCGATATGGAATTGGCAGCCACCTTCCTCAAGAGCATTTCAGGAGAGATAATCATTTTTTTTCAGCAAAGGAGTCAGCCCCAATGTGACATGCAGAGGTCCTTGTGCTCATCACTTACACACCTGCCTTTTCATCTGGGCAGATCGGGTGCTCAATAAGCTATTCTGCTCAACTGCGAGGGAAAGTACTGATCTGGCATGAAACAGGAGCACACAATGCCCCGTGAATACATTAAGCTGCCTGCTAGCTCACGACAATGGACTTTTATAATGAACTGGATGAGGCGATTCATAAGTGCCGCTTCCAATTAAAAATAACACTTCTGCAAGGGCAAATGAGTGAGGTAATGACTGTACTTCTAATCAAGCAGGAGCAGCTGTCTCATTAGTAGCTACTCCTGGAAGAAACTGCCTTTGTAACCTATGCTAATGCACCTTAACCTTTTCCTTCTGGACCAAAGCAAAACTTGTCCTCACAAGAAGCACTGCTGGTTCTTCTGGGACACACATTTAATTCACACTTATGTTAAGCATATGTTTTTTGCTTTGAGACATATATTTGTACAGCAAAATGGTGTGCAGTCATTTTAAAGGAAGATTTGATGGAGGTCAAAGGCATTAACTTCAACATTTTTTGGAAAATGTACCTTTTCCTTCAAATTTCTAGTTTGGGATGAAGAAAGCTAAACCATTTTTTTCTTCTTGTATCTCAGAAAATAAGAAAGACAGTTTCTTAAGAAAAAAGGTAAGAATTTTATATTTCCAATCACTTCCAAAATTTCCACATGGAATGCCATTTTAATAACAACTAATCCTTCAGGGTCTGTAACTGCAACAATGTTAATGTCTCTCTTTCTCTCTCTTTTTTTTTTTTTTTTTTTTTTTTTAATGCCAGATAAAATCCAGTTGCTAAAATCCAGTTACATCTAGGTGTGGTTTTCAAAATAGAAACAGAGAAACTCTGAAATTATTTTATTGTTGTTGTTGTTTTTCATTCTCATTTTGTGTTGTTCTTGCAGTTTAAAGGACATCCCACCTCCAGGTGAAAGTTGAGGGTCAATCCCCCTGCAATGATTGAAGGGTTTGCCTTTGACCTGGTAGAATATTGGGTTCTTCAGGTCTTTATGAGAGCATTTTAACAGCCAGCCCATGTGACAGGCAAGTTGGGGGTGGCACTAAGGAAGAGGAAAAAAAAGAAAAAGTTAATTCATCAAGTGAGGAGTTTGTTTAACAGATATTTAAAATGTTTAAAAAGTAGCACTTCTTTAATGGGTGTTTAAAATGACAAAGCCCTTCTTAAGCCACAGAGTTTGGAAAGTTTA